CGACGGATTGTGCGGCAGAATATCTCGTTTTCCGACTGGAAATTTCACTCAAACACCTCACTGGGCGAGTTTTCTCACGTAAGTGAACATTCCATTCTCAGGAATTAGCGTATGATTTGGCTTTCGCTGCCACCTTGTGCGATTCTTCATAGTGCATTCGAGTAGAAAAGTTCTTGTTTCCAAGCCATCTCTTGAAAGCAGTATTTTTCTCAGACAGTAGGCATGACTACTTATATCCAACGGGAAGTTCGTTTCTGATCTGCACGTGACTGGTCAACCAGTTTTACACCATGGCATTCAGCGGCAATCATGAGTTGCCCGTTCCTAGCGAGCTTCCACATCAACGGTCATCTCCGGGATCAGTTGAAACCGTCCTGTGAAGGTCTTAACTTCGTATCCGCAAACGATAATGTTTCCCATTCCCATTTGGTCCTCCGGCTGCTCCCGTGACCAGGTCCTCGTACGGTGCACCATCGCTTATGGTGTAGAGTGCCAACGACAATGTGGTGATCACTTGAGAGCCTTGTACCTAACTTAATGCTAACGTTCATTACAGTACGTCGAAAGTCAGACGATATGATTGTCAAATCGATCTTTGACTTCTGTACACTAGCTACCATATATCAGTTATGCCGATGATGATCGAAGAAAGTTTTCATAATAGTCAGTTCGTTGTTTGCACAAAACCGCAACAACTGTATGCTGTTATTTTTGAGATCACAAGGACCGTTCTTGCCAATCAGGCAATTTCACTTTTCAGCGTCTGCTTTGACATGCACGAAAATCGCCAATGAGTATGAGGGACTCGGTATGAAGGGTTCATATTCTCCCTGCGAATTAAGTGCATAGACCTGTGTCAGAGTCAAAACTTCGGTCTTTTGTAGCTTTAGCCGGATGACCCCCCATCTATCTAATAACAAGCTTAGGTTCAATGATTCAGTCAGCCAGGACACCATTATCGGTCTGAACGTGCATGGTGATTTCAACACCTGAACAGAGTAGGTTTTACCCGCAAAGGTTCAAAACTAGAGTGCACTTGCGCTTTGTTGATGAGAGCACAACTATGACCAGTCGGTTCCATGCGGTATCACCAACTACCTCTTGCTCTTTCTCTCTCAGTGAGCAGAAATTCGAATTTTTAGCTGTGAGCTACCACTTTCAGTATCGCTCCCGTAGACGCTCATCTGACGTGCTGTAACAGGTGCACAGTTGTGCTGTCTGCCTTTTCCGCTCACAGCAGGTATTGGCTTTAGCCTTCTTTGATGACTGGTATCTTCGCCATCTGTCTCTGGAGGGCCATCACGTGCAGCCATGCCCCGAAATGTCAGAAATGTGAAATAATACATATCTGTGAGAAATTCTGCAGTAGAAACCCTGAGTATCTTTGTCCATCAGAAGATACTTGAACAACACATGGTTCAGGGTCTACTACATGACTTGCATTAGTTTTGGGTGCTCTTTTTCATGGATCATACCATTAGCAACCCGGAGGAGGTGTTGAATGAGGTATACAGCGTTCAATGTGGTAACTATGATAAAATATGCTTCAGGAAGACATATCGGAAATTAACCATTTGGATTAAAGAGCACTCATCGGCAGTTTGTCTCAAACAGGCAAATCACCCCGGCATTGCGCAACGCGCCGTTTCTGAGGGATAATCCTTCAGTCAAGCGAATGTTTCTGTCATCGGCGAGGACCGGACAAGGCATGGTCTTTCGATGAAATGTTTCCTAGTCATTTTGGCCATGCAACACCACATAGCAATCAATATTCTCCCTCCGTCGTGATAAGTGAGAGCTACAGTGCTCTAGCGAATTTAATATGAAATTTTCATACGGCGCAATGAGGAGTAATGAATGGTGGAGATGCAACCTTAAACTTAGGCTTAAACTTATACTTATGCTACGTTAAGATGTGTTAATCTACCACTTAGTTTAAAGGTTTTAAAATGTTGTTTCCTTGGAGGCGTTGACATTGATATATGTATATATCGACTGGTCCTCTATGAGCCCAGGCATGCATGCCTGGCGGTATGTATACACAAATGTCAGCTTGCTAGCTGTCATATCTTAATTATGACATGATGACGCTTCTAAGTTTGCAGCAAAACCTGTCGATAGCAACCTATTGAAATCTGTGTTATTTGGTGCTCTGAACCATAAATATTGATGAACAATCAACAGTTTCAACCACGAGCCCAAAATCGCAAATTTTATGTCATATTTCAGAATCATTCAAGTACACACAGGTGAACGAATCGATAAAAGCGCAAACTGTAATCTGCTATTTTGCTGCAAGTGCGAATCGGTTGAAATGATAATGGGCGAAACGCGTTTTAAGCATAGCTAAACTAAAACGATATTGAAGCTGGTTCCAAGCGAAGGTAAACACTCCGATGGACGAATTCCAAATTGGTGGCCAGATTAGCTGAAGAATCAAGTGCATTTAACGTAAACACAGCCATCAGCCTATGAGACTTTTTGATAAACGCCTAAAACCGGAACTTTGTACGCAATAAAAGATAATTTTTTCCTGGACACAGAGTGCAAATATTAAAATTAGCTATAATTAATAATTTATTGATAATCAATTTGAATTTGAAAACTCAGAAAACCTCAGCTGAGCAGTGACATGGACTTTAGACCGGCGACGACGACCAGAACGAGCACGGCGAATAACACTTTGGGCCTTTGTACTTGTCCGTTGCATTCGTACCAATCGCAGAGGTTATTTTGCTCGGCGACGGTCAGCCTCCTGCATACTTCCCTACCGAACTTCGTGTCCGCTCCAACCTTAAGGTTACCGTCGAACACAATGGAGGGGATATAGAACTTTTCGTTGCGCGCTTTGAGCTCATCAATCAACTGTTCCGTTTCATGGTACATTTCCGTCAGCAGCTGGTCGCCCTCGTCACCATCGACACACGTTTTCAACCGAGCGTGGTCAACCGGCAGAGGTCCGGCGCAGAAGTCCAGCATTTCCGGAGATCCGTGCTGGAGGCACAGCACGAAGGGCACCACGTCGTTGTAGCCGGGGAAATGTTTGATCGCACAGGTCATAATCTTGTTCAGGGCGCACTCGTTCGGCCCGTGTTGGCAGTGCAGCG